CAGCTCATGAAACATGGGTCCAACACTTTACATGTTAGGTTTATATTTTTGTTCAGTATAAACGCATGGATACACAGAATAAAGGTATTTAACATTTTGGGGGGATTTTTAAAATTAATTTAGTTAATTCCCCACTATAGTAAAACAACAAATTATAGAACTAAAAGCCATAATAATGAAAGTGCATGTTGCTGCACACAGAGACCATTCATATAATTTCATTTAAGCTTCATTTATATTTAACCAGGTTAATTACTTTGATTTAAACAGGTATTTCACCTTTACTTAAACAGGTTGGTGTCATTGAGACAAAAATTGAATACAAACTCTCAATAAAACAGTTAATCTCAAATAAACGCCCGCTCGGAGGGGGCACTGGAAGCCTGAACGCCCGCTCGGAGGGGGCACTGGAAGCCAGGATGCTGAGTACGTGACACACACTGAACGCCCGCACGGAGGGGGCACTGGAAGCCTGAACGCCCACTCGGAGGGGGCACTGGAAGCCTGAACGCCCGCTCGGAGGGGGCACTAGAAGCCTGAACGCCCGCTCGGAGGGGGCACTGGAAGCCAGGATGCTGAGGACGTGACACACACTGAACGCCTGCTCGGAGGGGGCACTGGAAGCCAGGATGCTGAGGACGTGACACACACTGAACGCCCGCTCGGAGGGGGCACTGGAAGCCAGGATGCTGAGAACGTGACACACACTGAACGCCCGCTCGGAGGGGGCCACACACACACTGAACGCCCGCTCGGAGGGGGCCACACACACACTGAACGCCCGCTCGGAGGGGGCACTGGAAGCCTGAACGCCCGCTCGGAGGGGGCACTGGAAGCCAGGATGCTGAGAACGTGACACACACTGAACGCCCGCTCGGAGGGGGCCACACACACACTGAACGCCCGCTCGGAGGGGGCACTGGAAGCCTGAACGCCCGCTCGGAGGGGGCACTGGAAGCCAGGATGCTGAGGACGTGGCATGCGAGGTTGCTGACCGCAGGGAACTGAAATCTCTGTGCCTGCCACCACAACAGAACAGCGCTGGTCTGCTTGTTAGACTGGGGTCCAGTTTGACTGCCACATAGTCTTTCATTTAGTTTTCCAGTGGTCTTGACTGGGGCGTAATGATATCTGCTCCATCCTACCAGTCCAAGAACTCACGCTATGTGACTGTTGGTCTCTTCATCAGTGGGGGGATCAACCCTGATAACTGGGACATGACCTCTACTATGATCAACCCTGATAACCGGGTCATGACCTCTACTATGACCAACCCTGATAACTGGGACATGACCTCTACTATGACCAACCCTGATAACTGGGACATGACCTCTACTATGATCAACCCTGATAACCGGGTCATGACCTCTACTATGACCAACCCCAGGGGTGTAGTGGAGGGTACACCAGCTATAAGCCATATAACCACTCTTATCTTTCAGTGGCCGTTGTCTATACTCACTTCTGAACCCCCACTGATACGTATCACGGTAGTGTGGTGGAGGTATATGCTGTATATAAGGCTGGTGGAACAGATCAGAATGTTTAATCACGGTAGTGTGGTGGAGGTATATGCTGTATATAAGGCTTTCCCCAGAAACCTTCTCTATTAAATGTTAACTACAAAGTAGCCCATGTCTACCTGACAGAACGATATCATGAGGATTATTTGCACCAATCGGGTGGCCGTTTTTATTTTGCCAACTCCATCTCGTGTGCTACAGAAACACAGCTAATCAGACAACAGTGCTAGGTGCCTGTACACTTGAATTAAAGGGTAACTACTCTTAACATTTCTTAGATTTTTCCCAGACCTCAAAAGGGGTCTCCTGATGTGGTTTAAGCATTTTGATGGACATAGAATATCCCATAACATAATATGTATATATATATAATGTTGTTGTTTTTCTGTAGATAAAAAAAAAAGTGTGTCTTTGAGAATGAAAACCTGAAAAGAATCTGAAAGCTGTGAATTTCTGACTCAGTGTACAGTGGGGAAAAAAAGTATTTAGTCAGCCACCAATTGTGCAAGTTCTCCCACTTAAAAAGATGAGAGAGACCTGTAATTTTCATCATAGGTACACGTCAACTATGACAGACAAAATGAGAATTTTTTTTCCAGAAAATCACATTGTAGGATTTTTTATGAATTTATTTGCAAATGATGGTGGAAAATAAGTATTTGGTCAATAACAAAAGTTTCTCAATACTTTGTTATATACCCTTTGTTGGCAATGACACAGGTCAAACGTTTTCTTTAAGTCTTCACAAGGTTTTCACACACTGTTGCTGGTATTTTGGCCCATTCCTCCATGCAGATCTCCTCTAGAGCAGTGATGTTTTGGGGCTGTCGCTGGGCAACACGGACTTTCAACTCCCTCCAAAGATTTTCTATGGGGTTGAGATCTGGAGACTGGCTAGGCCACTCCAGGACCTTGAAATGCTTCTTACGAAGCCACTCCTTCGTTGCCCGGGCGTTGTGTTTGGGATCATTATCATGCTGAAAGACCCAGCCACGTTTCATCTTCAATGCCCTTGGAGGTTTTCACTCTAAATCTCACGATACATGGCCCCATTCATTCTTTCCTTTACACGGATCAGTCGTCCTGGTCCCTTTGCAGAAAAACAGCCCCAAAGCATGATGTTTCCACCCCCATGCTTCACAGTAGGTATGGTGTTCTTTGGATGCAACTCAGCATTCTTTGTCATCCAAACACGACGAGTTGAGTTTTTACCAAAAAGTTATATTTTGGTTTCATCTGACCATATGACATTCTCCCAATCCTCTTCTGGATCATCCAAATGCACTCTAGCAAACTACAGACGGGCCTGGACATGTACTGGCTTAAGCAGAGGGACACGTCTGGCACTGCAGGATTTGAGTCCCTGGCGGCGTAGTGTGTTACTCATGGTAGGCTTTGTTACTTTGGTCCCAGCTCTCTGCAGGTCATTCACTAGGTCCCCCCGTGTGGTTCTGGGATTTTTGCTCACCGTTCTTGTGATCATTTTGACCCCACGGGGTGAGATCTTGCGTGGAGCCCCAGATCGAGGGAGATTATCAGTGGTCTTGTATGTCTTCCATTTCCTAATAATTGCTCCCACAGTTGATTTCTTCAAACCAAGCTGCTTACCTATTGCAGATTCAGTCTTCCCAGCCTGGTGCAGGTCTACAATTTTGTTTCTGGTGTCCTTTGACAGCTCTTTGGTCTTGGCCATAGTGGAGTTTGGAGTGTGACTGTTTGAGGTTGTGGACAGGTGTCTTTTATACTGATAACAAGTTCAAACAGGTGCCATTCATACAGGTAACGAGTGGAGGACAGAGGAGCCTCTTAAAGAAGAAGTTACAGGTCTGTGAGAGCCAGAAATCTTCCTTGTTTGTAGGTGACCAAATACTTATTTTCCACCATAATTTGCAAATAAATTCATTAAAAATCCTAGAATGTGATTTTCTGGAAAAAAAAATTCTCAATTTGTCTGTCATAGTTGACGTGTACCTATGATGAAAATTACAGGCCTCTCTCATCTTTTTAAGTGGGAGAACTTGCATAATTGGTGGCTGACAAAAAAAAAAAATTCCCCACTGTATCTGTTTCAACAGTAGTCCTGCTGTCAGCCTCCTGCCCAGTCCAGCTTGGGTTGGCCTGACTGCGGAACACCAATATGGGATTCATCAGTAGTCCTGCTGTCAGCCTCCTGCCCAGTCCAGCTTGGGTTGGCCTGACTGTGGAACACCAATATGGGATTCATCAGTAGTCCTGCTGTCAGCCTCCTGCCCAGTCCAGCTTGGGTTGGCCTACTGTGAAACACAATATGGGATTCATCATAGTCCTTGCTGTCAGCCTCCTGCCCAGTCCAGCATTGGGGTTGGCCTGACTGTGAACACCAATATGGGGATTCATCAGTAGTCCTGCTGTCAGCCTCCTGCCCAGTCCAGCTTGGGTTGGCCTGACTGGGAACACCAATATGGGATTCATCAGTAGTCCTGCTGTCAGCCTCCTGCCCAGTCCAGCTTGGGTTGGCCTGACTGTGGAACACCAATATGGGATTCATCAGTAGTCCTGCTGTCAGCCTCCTGCCCAGTCCAGCTTGGGTTGGCCTGACTGCGGAACACCAATATGGGATTCATCAGTAGTCCTGCTGTCAGCCTCCTGCCCAGTCCAGCTTGGGTTGGCCTGACTGCGGAACACCAATATGGGATTCATCAGTAGTCCTGCTGTCAGCCTCCTGCCCAGTCCAGCTTGGGTTGGCCTGACTGCAGAACACCAATATGGGATTCATCAGTAGTCCTGCTGTCAGCCTCCTGCCCAGTCCAGCTTGGGTTGGCCTGACTGTGAAACACCAATATGGGATTCATCAGTAGTCCTGCTGTCAGCCTCCTGCCCAGTCCAGCTTGGGTTGGCCTGACTGCGGAACACCAATATGGGATTCATCAGTAGTCCTGCTGTCAGCCTCCTGCCCAGTCCAGCTTGGGTTGGCCTGACTGCGGAACACCAATATGGGATTCATCAGTAGTCCTGCTGTCAGCCTCCTGCCCAGTCCAGCTTGGGTTGGCCTGACTGCAGAACACCAATATGGGATTCATCAGTAGTCCTGCTGTCAGCCTCCTGCCCAGTCCAGCTTGGGTTGGCCTGACTGCGGAACACCAATATGGGATTCATCATTCAGAGGGTATGTCACTGTTTCTCATAGTATTTTTCACACATGGGCGGCGCCCCTGATAACTGGTACATTAAAAATACAAGGCGGAGGCAAACCTAGCTTAACGTTGACACGTTCACCATTCAACAAGGCGGAGGCAAACCTAGCTTAACGTTGACACGTTCACTCATTCAACAAGGCGGAGGCAAACCTAGCTTAACGTTGACACGTTCACCATTCAACAAGGCGGAGGCAAACCTCGCTTAACGTTGACACGTTCACTCATTCAACAAGGCGGAGGCAAACCTAGCTTAACGTTGACACGTTCACTCATTCAACAAGGCGGAGGCAAACCTAGCTTAACGTTGACACGTTCACTCATTCAACAAGGCGGAGGCAAACCTAGCTTAACGTTGACACGTTCACTCATTCAACAAGGCGTGTGAACGTGTCAATAAGAAGAAACGTTGTCCATTCACAGTCCATGTTAGGAGCTCAGTTTCACATTAAGGTGAGATGTATCAGCAACGGGGTTAGTTCATTTAGTCCCACATCACCCCTCATACTCCATGTTAGGAGCTCAGTTTCACATTAAGGTGAGACGTATCAGCAGCGGGGTTAGTTCATTTAGTCCCACATCACCCCTCATACTCCATGTTAGGAGCTCAGTTTCACATTAAGGTGAGATGTATCAGCAACGGGGTTAGTTCATTTAGTCCCACATCACCCCTCATACGTCTGTCTTTACCTGCTGGGTGAGGGGGGTTGAGGTGATGATGTTGATGATGAAGGTGGATGTGGTCCGTCATATGATCCTGACCTGGTGACCAACACACACACACACACACACACACACACACACACACACACACACACACACACACACACACACACACACACACACACACACACACACACACACACACACACACACACACACACACACACACACTGACTACAGCAGAGCTACTTATCATAAACACTGACTACAGCAGAGCTACTTATCATACACACTGATTACAGCAGAGCTACTTATCATACACACTGACTACAGCAGAGCTACTTATCATATACACTGACTACAGCAGAGCTACTTATCATATACACTGACTACAGCAGAGCTACTTATCATACACACTGACTACAGCAGAGCTACTTATCATACACACTGACTACAGCAGAGCTACTTATCATACACACTGACTACAGCAGAGCTACTTATCATACACACTGACTACAGCAGAGCTACTTATCATACACACTGACTACAGCAGAGCTACTTATCATACACACTGACTACAGCAGAGCTACTTATCATAAACACTGACTACAGCAGAGCTACTTATCATACACACTGACTACAGCAGAGCTACTTATCATACACACTGACTACAGCAGAGCTACTTATCATACACACTGACTACAGCAGAGCTACTTATCATAAACACTGACTACAGCAGAGCTACTTATCATACACACTGACTACAGCAGAGCTACTTATCATAAACACTGACTACAGCAGAGCTACTTATCATACACAGACATATCACAAAACACACCTCTTGACGACGCTGGGCTGGTTGCGGTCCAGAGACGTCTCCTGACCCCTGGAGGACTCACAGTCCCATGATGCATCTGTCACAACACAACACTAGTTACCATGGTTACATCACTAACCTTCCTTCCTTCCTGTGTGTGTGAGTATGTTTGTGTGTAAGGGCACGTCTGTGTGTGTGCATATGCGTGTGTGTGTGTGTGTGACTGTGTGTGTGCTAACCAGTGTTGGGGAAGATACTCTGAAAATATAGTTCACCAAGCTACCAATTACTTCACATTGGAAGAAGTTAAGCTACACTAAAGCTACCCTTAAGAAAAACATAGTTTACTTAACTAAAATTACTTCGAGAAAATAGTTCACTGCTTCCAAACTACTACTAAAAAATATATCTATATCATGAAATGTCAGACTTCACACTGGAAGAACAGACCACTGTGTAGTCAGATGTTAACAGAATGTGTAATTAGGCTATTCAACACAACCAGTGAGAATCAGGCAGGTCTGGTGAGGAAAACAAAGAACATTCCTGCTACTTCACCCATATTTGATTTGAGCAAAAACAGTAATACATAATTACAGTAGTTAGCTACACCGCTACATGGTAAAACAGTAGTGTTTAGTTCCAGTAGTTAGCTACACCGCTACATGGTAAAACAGTAGTGTGTAGTTCCAGTAGTTAGCTACACCGCTACATGGTAAAACAGTAGTGTGTAGTTCCAGTAGTTAGCTACACCGCTACATGGTAAAACAGTAGTGTGTAGTTCCAGTAGTTAGCTACACCGCTACATGGTAAAACAGTAGTGTGTAGTTCCAGTAGTTAGCTACACCGCTACATGGTAAAACAGTAGTGTGTAGTTCCAGTAGTTAGCTACACCGCTACATGGTAAAACAGTAGTGTGTAGTTCCAGTAGTTAGCTACACCGCTACATGGTAAAACAGTAGTACGTAGTTCCAGTAGTTAGCTACACCGCTACATGGTAAAACAGTAGTGTGTAGTTCCAGTAGTTAGCTACACCACTACATGGTAAAACAGTAGTACGTAGTACCAGTAGTTAGCTGCAATCAATCAATTTTCAATCAATTTTATTTTATATAGCCCTTCTTACATCAGCTAATATCTCGAAGTGCTGTACAGAAACCCAGCCTAAAACCCCAAACAGCTAGTAATGCAGGTGTAGAAGCACGGTGGCTAGGAAAAACTCCCTAGAAAGGCAAAACCTAGGAAGAAACCTAGAGAGGAACCAGGCTATGAGGGGTGGCCAGTCCTCTTCTGGCTGTGCCGGGTGGAGATTATAACAGAACCATGCCAAGATGTTCAAAAATGTTCATAAGTGACAAGCATGGTCAAATAATAATCAGGAATAAATCTCAGTTGGCTTTTCATAGCCGATCATTAAGAGTTGAAAACAGCAGGTCTGGGACAGGTAGGGGTTCCATAACCGCAGGCAGAACAGTTGAAACTGGAATAGCAGCAAGGCCAGGCGGACTGGGGACAGCAAGGAGTCACCACGGCCGGTAGTCCCGACGTATGGTCCTAGGGCTCAGGCCTCTCAGTTGGCTTTTCATAGCCGATCATTAAGAGTTGAAAACAGCAGGTCTGGGACAGGTAGGGGTTTCGTAGCCGCAGGCAGAACAGTTGAAACTGGAATAGCAGCAAGGCCAGGCGGACTGGGGACAGCAAGGTGTCATCATGCCCGGTAGTCCTGACGTATGGTCCTAGGGCTCAGGTTCTCAGAGAGAAAGAGAGAACGAGAGAATTAGAGAGAGCATACTTAAATTCACACAGGACACTGGATAAGACAGGAGAAGTACTCCAGGTATAACCAACTGACCCCAGCCCCCCGACACATAAACTACTGCAGCATAAATACTGGAGGCTGAGACAGGAGCGGTCCGGAGACACTGTGGCCCCATCCGAAGAAACCCCCGGACAGGGCCAAACAGGAAGGATATAACCCCACCCACTCCGCCAAAGCACAGCCCCCGCACCACTAGAGGGATATCCCCAACCACCAACTTACAATCCTGAGACAAGGCCGAGTATAGCCCACAGAGGTCTCCACCACAGCACAAACCAAGGGGGGGGGCGCCAACCCAGACAGGAAGATCACGTCAGTAACTCAACCCACTCAAGTGACGCACCCCTCCCAGGGACGGCATGAAAGAGCACCAGCAAGCCAGTGACTCAGCCCCTGCAACAGGGTTAGAGGCAGAGAACCCCAGTGGAGAGGGGAACCGGCCTGGCAGAGACAGCAAGGGCTGTTCGTTGCTCCAGCCTTTCCGTTCACCTTCACACTCCTGGGCCAGACTACACTCAATCATATGACCTACTGAAGAGATAAGTCTTCAGTAAAGACTTAAAGGTTGAGACCGAGTCTGCGTCTCTCACATGGGTAGGCAGACTGTTCCATAAAAATGGAGATCTATAGGAGAAAGCCCTGCCTCCCGCTGTTTGCTTAGAAATTCTAGGGACAATTAGGAGGCCTGCGTCTTTGCCACCGCTACATGGTAAAACAGTAGTGTGTAGTTCCAGTAGTTAGCTACACCGCTACATGTTAAAACAGTAGTGTGTAGTTCCAGTAGTTAGCTACACCGCTACATGGTAAAACAGTAGTGTGTAGTTCCAGTAGTTAGCTACACCGCTACATGGTAATAAAACAGTAGTACGTAGTTCCAGTAGTTAGCTACACCGCTACATGGTTTAAAACAGTAGTACGTAGTTCCAGTAGTTAGCTACACCGCTACATGGTAAAACATTAGTACGTAGTTCCAGTAGTTAGCTACACCGCTACATGGTAAAACAGTAGTACGTAGTTCCAGTAGTTAGCTACACCGCTACATGGTAAAACAGTAGTGTGTAGTTCCAGTAGTTAGCTACACCGCTACATGGTAAAACAGTAGGTGTAGTTCCAGTAGTTAGCTACACCGCTACATGGTAAAACAGTAGTGTAGTTCCAGTAGTTAGCTACACCGCTACATGGTAAAACAGTAGTACGTAGTTCCAGTAGTTAGCTACACCGCTACATGGTAAAAAAGTAATGAACTTCTGAAAACACTACCAATATTTGAATTTAGTTCAACTACCACCAAGCTACTGTAAAATGTAGTTAAATTAGTAGTTGAACTACATGTAGTTCACTACTCCCCAACACTGGTGCTAACCCTGTATAAACTGTAGTTGGGATACGGCATGCTGATCCTGGCCGTTCTGATGAGCGATTGCTTCTGTCTTACAGATCTGTTGTGCCGGAACGATGACTTCTGTCTGAACAGGGAGCTCTATGGGAGGGAAATGAGAAAGGGCCGTTGCCGTCTCCTCCAGGATCCTCTTCTCCTGGAAACACACACAGAACAAGGCTAACGCTAATGCTAATGCTAATAATTACGAATAATAGAGGACTCATTTCATGTTTTTCAGTTAGCGTATTCATCTGAAGATAGCTAGGTGGGACAACCACACTAGGTGGGACAACCACACTAGGTGGGACAACCACACTAGGTGAGACAACCACACTAGGACAACCACACTAAATGTGAAAACCACACTAGGACAACCACACTAGATCGGACAACCACTATAGGACAACCACACTAGGTGGGACAACCACACTAGGTGGGACTACCGCACTAGGTGGGACAACCGCACTAAGACAACCACACTAGGTGGGACAACCACACTAGGAGGGACAACCACACTAGAATAACCACACTAGGTGGGACAACCACACTAGGTGGGACAACCACACTAGGTGGGACAACCACACTAGGTGGGACAACCACACTAGGTGGGACAACCACACTAGGTGGGACAACCACTCTAGAACAACCACACTAGGACAACCACACTAGGTTGGACAACCACACTAGGTGGGACAACCACACTAGGTGGGACAACCACACTAGGACAACCACACTAGGTGGGACAACCACATTAGGACAACCACACTAGGTGGGACAACCACACTAGGACAACCACACTAGGACAACTGCACTAGGTGGAACAACCGCACTAGGTGGGACAACCACACTAGGACAACCACACTAGGTGGGACAACCACACTAGGTGGGACAACCACACTAGGACAACCACACTAGGACAACCACACTAGGTGGGACAACCACACTAAGACAACCACACTAGGACAACCACACTAGAACAACTACACTAGGTGGGTCAACCGCACTAGGTGGGACAACCGCACTAAGACAACCACACTAGGACAACTACACTAGGTGGGTCAACCGCACTAGGTGGGACAACTACACCAGGACAACCACACTAGGACAACCACACTAGGTGGGACAACCGCACTAGGTGGGACAACCACACTAGGTGGGACAACCACACTACAGCAACCACACTATGACAACCACACTAGGTGTGACAACCACACTAGGACAACCACACTAGGTGGGACAACCACATTAAAACCACCACACTAGGTGGGACAACCACACTAGGACAACCACACTAGGACAACCACACTAGGACAACCACACTAGGTGGGACAACCACACTAAAACCACCACACTAGGTGGGACAACCACACTAGGACAACCACACTAGGACAACCACACTAGGACAACCACACTTGGTGGGACAACCACACTAGGTGGGACAACCACACTTGGTGGGACAACCACACTAGGTGGGACAACCACACTAGGTTGGACAACCACACTAGGACAACCACACTATGTGGGACAACCACACTAGGAGAACCACACTAGGTGGGACAACCACACTTGGTGGGACAACCACACTAGGTGGGACAACCACACTAGGACAACCACACTAGGTGGGACAACCACACTAGGACAACCACACTAGGTGGGACAACCACACTAGGACAACCACACTAGGACAACCACACTAGGTGGGACAACCACACTAGGACAACCACACTAGGTGGGACAACCATGCTAGGACAACCACACTAGGACAACCACACTAGGTGGGACATCCACACTAGGACAACCACACTAGGACAACCACACTAGGTGGGACAACCACACTCGGTTGGACAACCACACTAGGACAACCACACTAGGTGGGACAACCACACTAGGACAACCACACTAGGACAACCACACTAGGTGGGACAACCACACTAGGTTGGACAACCACACTAGGACAACCACACTAGGTGGGACAACCACACTAGGACAACCACACTAGGACAACCACACTAGGACAACCACACTAGGTGGGACAACCACACTAGGACAACCACACTAGGTGGGACAACCACACTAGGACAACCACACTAGGTGGGACAACCACACTTGGTGGGACAACCACACTAGGACAACCACACTAGGACAACCACACTAGGTGGGACATCCACACTAGGACAACCACACTAGGTAGGACAACCACACTAGGAGAACCACACTAGGTGGGACAACCACACTTGGTGGGACAACCACACTAGGACAACCACACTAGGTGGGACAACCACACTAGGACAACCACACTAGGACAACCACACTAGGTGGGACATCCACACTAGGACAACCACACTAGGTAGGACAACCACACTAGGACAACCACACTAGGTGGGACAACCACACTTGGTGGGACAACCACACTAGGACAACCACACTAGGTGGGACAACCACACTTGGTGGGACAACCACACTAGGTGGGACAACCACACTAGGTTGGACAACCACACTAGGACAACCACACTTGGTGGGACAACCACACTAGGTGGGACAACCACACTAGGTTGGACAACCACACTAGGACAACCACACTAGGTGGGACAACCACACTAGGACAACCACACTAGGTTGGACAACCACACTAGGACAACCACACTAGGTGGGACAACCACACTAGGACAACCACACTAGGACAACCACACTAGGTGGGACATCCACACTAGGACAACCACACTAGGACAACCACACTAGGACAACCACACTAGGACAACCACACTAGGTGGGACAACCACACTAGGTGGGACAACCGCACTAGGTGGGACAACCACACTAGGAGAACCACACTAGGACAACCACACTAGGAGAACCACACTAGGAGGGACAACCACACTAGGTGGGACAACCACACTAGGACAACCACACTAGGACAACCACACTAGGTTGGACAACCACACTAGGACAACCACACTAGGTGGGACAACCACACTAGGACAACCACACTAGGACAACCACACTAGGTGGGACAACCACACTAGGTGGGACAACCACACTAGGTGGGACAACCACACTAGGTGGGACAACCACACTAGGACAACCACACTAGGTGGGACAACCACACTAGGACAACCACACTAGGACAACCACACTAGGACAACCACACTAGGACAACCACACTAGGTGGGACAACCACACTAGGAGAACCACACTAGGTGGGACAACCACACTAGGACAACCACACTAGGTGGGACAACCATGCTAGGACAACCACACTAGGACAACCACACAAGGACAACCATATATACAGTGCCAGTCAAAAGTTTGGACACACCTACTCATTCCATTATTTATTTTTATTTTTTACTATTTTCTACATTGTAGGATAATATTGAAGACATCAAACCTATGACATAACAGATATGGAATCATGTAGTAACCAAAAAAGTGTTAAACAAATATTTTATATTTGAGATTCTTCAAATAGCCACCCTTTGCCTTGATGACAGCTTTGCACACTCTTGGCATTCTCTCAACCAGCTTCACCTGGAATGCTTTTCCAACAGTGGTAGTCACCTGGAATGCATTTAAATTAACAGGTGTGCCTTCTTAAAAGTTAAGTTGTGGAATTTCTTTCCTTCTTAATGCGTTTGAGCCAATCAGTTGTGTTGTGACAAGGTAGGGGTGGTATACAGAAGATAGCCCTATTTGGTAAAAGACCAAGTCCATATTATGGCAAGAACAGATCAAATAAGCAAAGAGAAACGACAGTCCATCATTACTTTAAGACATGAAGGTCAGTCAATACAGAACATTTCAAGAACTTTGAAAGTTTCTTCAAGTGCAGTCGCAAACATTATCAAGCGCTATGATGAAACTGGCTCTCATGAGGACCGCCACAGGAAAGGAAGACCCAGAGTTACCTCTGCTGCAGAGGATAAATTCATTAGAGTTAACTGCACCTCAGATTGCAGCCCAAATAAATGCTTCACATAGTTCAAGTAACAGACACATCTCCACATCAACTGTTCAGAGGAGACTGTGTGAATCAGGCCTTCATGGTCGAATTGCTGCAAAGAAACCACTACTAAAGGACACCAATAAGAAGACGAGACTTGCTTGGGCCAAGAAACACGAGCAATGGACATTAGACCGGTGGAAATCTGTCCTTTGGACTGATGAGTCCAAATTTGAGATTTTTGGTTCCAACTGCCGTGTCTTTGTGAGACGCGGTGTGGGTGAATGGATGATCTCCACATGTGTAGTTCCCACCGTAAAGCATGGAGGAGGAGGTGTTATGGTGTGATGTTGCTTTGCTGGTGACACTGTCAGTGATTTATTTAGAATTCAAGGCACACTTAACCAGCATGGTTACCACAGCATTCTGCAGTTATACACCATCCCATCTGGTTTGGGCTTAGTGGGACTATCATTTGTTTTTCAACAGGACAATGACCCAAAACACACCTCCAGGCTGTGTAAGGGCTATTTGACCAAGAAGGAGAGTGATGGAGTGCTGCATCAGATGACCTGGCCTCCACAATCACCTGACCTCAACCCAATTGAGATGGTTTGGGTTGAGTTGGAGTGAAGGAAAAGCAGCCAACAGGTTCTCAGCATATGTGGGAACTCCTTCAAGACTGTTGGAAAAGCATTCCAGGTGAAGCTGGTCGAGAGAATGCCAAGAGTGTGCAAAGCTGTCATCAAGGCAAAGGGTGGCTATTTGAAAAATCTCAAATATAAAATACATTTTGATTTGTTTAACACTTTTTTGGTTACTACATGATTCCTATATGTTATTTCATAGTTATTCTACAACGTAGAAAATAGTCAAAATAAAGAAAAACCCTTGAATGAGTAGGTGTGGCCAAACGTTTTACTGGTACTATATATATACAGTGCCTTGCAAAAGTATTCATCCCCCTTGGCGTTTTTCCTATTTTGTTGCATTACAACCTGTAATTTAAATGGATTTTTATATTAAAAAAAATAAATAAAGGAAAAGTTCAGTAGCTCAGTTGGTAGAGCATGGCACTTGCAACACCAGGGTTGTGGGTTCGTTTCCCACGGGGGGCCAGTATGAAAATGTATGCACTCACTAACTGTAAGTCGCTCTGGATAAGAGCGTCTGCTAAATGACTAAAATGTAATGTAAAAGTGGTGCGTGCATATGTATTCACCCCCTTTGCTATGAAGCCCCTAAATAAGATCTGGTGCAACCAATTACCTTCAGAAGTCAGTTAAATAAAGCCCACCTGTGTTCAATCTAAGTGTCACATGATCTGTCACATGATCTCAGTATATATACACCTGTTCTGAAAGGCCCCAGAGTCTGCAACACAACTAAGCAAGGGGCACCACCAAACAAATGGAAGAAGATACTCTGGTCAGATGAGACAAAAATTGAGCTTTTTGGCCATCAAGGAAAACGCTATGTCTGGCGCAAACCCAACACCTCTCATCACCCCGAGAACACCATCCCCACAGTGAAGCATGGTGGTGGCAGCATCATGCTGTGGGGATAGTTTTTATCGGTGGGAACTGGGAAACTGCTCAGAATTGAAGGAATGATGGATGGCGCTAAATACAGGGAAATTCTTGAGGGAAACCTGTTTCAGTCTTCCAGAGATTTGAGAATGGGACGGAGGTTCACCTTCCAGCAGGACAATGACCCTAAGCATACTGCTAAAGCAACACTTGAGTGGTTTAAGGGGAAACATTTAAATGTCTTGGAATGGCCTAGTCAAAGCCCAGACCTCAATCCAATTGAGAATCTGTGGTATGACTTAAAGATTGCTGTACACCAGTGGAACCCATCCAACTTGAGGGAGCTGGAGCAGTTTTGCCTTGAAGAATGGGCAAATATCCTAGTGGATAGATGTGCCAAGCTTAATGATACAAACCCCAAAAAAATCCATTTTAATTCCAGGTTGTAAAGATACAAAATAGGAAAAATGCCAAGGGAGGTGAAAACTTTCGCAAGCCACTGTATATATTATATATATATTTTTTACTAAAGCCTAATGTGTGTGGCAGGGCTAATGCTAAAGGCTAATATGTGTGTCAGCGCTAATGCTAAAGACTAATGTGTGTGTCAGCGCTAATGCTAAAGGCTAATGTGTGTTTCAGCGCTAATGCTAAAGGCTCATGTGTGTGTCAGGGCTAATTCTAAAGGCTAATGTGTGTGTCAGGGCTAATTCTAAAGGCTAATGTGTGTGTCAGGGCTAATTCTAAAGGCTAATGTGTGTGTCAGGGCTAATTCTAAAGGCTAATGTGTGTGTCAGGGCTAACGCTAATGGCTAATTTGTGTGTGTCAAGGCTAATTCTAAAGGCTAATTTGTGTGTCAGGGCTAATGCTAAAGGCTAATGTGTGTGTCAGGGCTAATGCTAAAGGCTAATGTGTGTGCTACCTCTTCATTGTGTCTCCGTTCCTCCTCGTCCACCTCTCTCTGCGCTCTCTCCCACACTACCTTCAGTTTCTCCTGCTCCCTGAGATACTGCTCCTGCACAGACACACACACACACACACACACACACACACACACACACACACACACACACACACACACACACACACACACACACACACACACACACACACACACACACACACACACACACACACACACGTGAACGTGAAACCGACATCAGGGTGATGCAAACAGTGTAGCTTCCTCCACTGTCCCTGTCCCATACCTGGCTGCAACTAGTGATCCTCTGCTCGCTAACACCCCTGACCACCCTCCTGTCCCATACCTGGCTGCAACTAGTGATCCTCTGCTCGCTAACACCCCTGACCACCCTCCTGTCCCATACCTGGCTGCAACTAGTGATCCTCTGCTCGCTAACACCCCTGACCCACCCTCCTGTCCCATACCTGGCTGCAACTAGTGATCCTCTGCTCGCTAACACCCCTGACCACCCTCCTGTCCCATACCTGGCTGCAACTAGTGATCCTCTGCTCGCTAACACCCCTGACCCACCCTCCTGTCCCATACCTGGCTGCAACTAGTGATCCTCTGCTCGCTAACACCCCTGACCACCCTCCTGTCCCATACCTGGCTGCAACTAGTGATCCTCTGCTCGCTAACACCCCTGATCACCCTCCTGTCCCATACCTGGCTGCAACTAGTGATCCTCTGCCTGCTAACACCCCTGACCACCCTCCTGTCCCATACCTGGCTGCAACTAGTGATCCTCTGCTCGCTAACACCCCTGATCACCCTCCTGTCCCATACCTGGCTGCAACTAGTGATCCTCTGCTCGCTAACACCCCTGACCACCCTCCTGTCCCATACCTGGCTGCAACTAGTGATCCTCTGCTCGCTAACACCCCTGACCCACCCTCCTGTCCCATACCTGGCTGCAACTAGTGATCCTCTGCCTGCTAACACCCCTGACCACCCTCCTGTTCCATACCTGGCTGCAACTAGTGATCCTCTGCTCGCTAACACCCCTGACCCACCCTCCTGTCCCATACCTGGCTGCAACTAGTGATCCTCTGCTCGCTAACACCCCCTGACCACCCTCCTGTCCCATACCTGGCTGCAACTAGTGATCCTCTGCTCGCTAACACCCCTGACCCACCCTCCTGTCCCATACCTGGCTGCAAACTAGTGATCCTCTGCTCGCTAACACCCCTGACCCACCCTCCTGTCCCAAACCTGGCTGCAACTAGTGATCCTCTGCTCGCTAACACCCCTGACCACCCTCCTGTTCCATACCTGGCTGCAACTAGTGATCCTCTGCTCGCTAACACCCCTGACCACCCTCCTGTCCCATACCTGGCTGCAACTAGTGATCCTCTGCTCGCTAACACCCCTGACCACCCTCCTGTCCCATACCTGGCTGCAAGTAGTGATCCTCTGCTCGCTAACACCCCTGACCACCCTCCTGTCCCATACCTGGCTGCAACTAGTGATCCTCTGCCTGCTAACACCCCTGACCCACCCTCCTGTCCCATACCTGGCTGCAACTAGTGATCCTCTGCTCGCTAACACCCCTGACCACCCTCCTGTCCCATACCTGGCTGCAACTAGTGATCCTCTGCTCGCTAACACCCCTGACCACCCTCCTGTCCCATACCTGGCTGCAACTAGTGATCCTCTGCTCGCTAACACCCCTGACCCACCCTCCTGTCCCATACCTGGCTGCAACTAGTGATCCTCTGCTCGCTAACACCCCTGACCACCCTCCTTCACAGCGTACCAACCGATTGAGCTATACAAAAGGATATAATTGGATTGCTCCATCAGCGAGATTTAAAGTGGGCTGTTACAAATGCACGCGTCACACACACCTGTAGGAGTCTCTCCTGTTCTCACCTCTCCTGTTATCACCTCTCCTGTTATCAACTCTCCGGTTATCTCCTCTCCTGTTATCACCTCTCCTGTAGTCTCCTCTCCTGTTATCACCTCTCCTGTTATCAACTCTCCGGTTATCTCCTCTCCTGTTATCAACTCTCCGGTTATCACCTCTCCTGTAGTCTCCTCTCCTGTTATCACCTCTCCTGTTATCTCCTCTCCTGTTATCTCCTCTCCTGTTATCTCCTCTCCTGTTATCACCTCTCCTGTAGTCTCCTCTCCTGTTATCTCCTCTCCTGTAGTCTCCTCTCCTGTTATCACCTCTCCTGTAGTCTCCTCTCCTGTTATCACCTCTCCTGTAGTCTCCTCTCCTGTTATCACCTCACCTGTAGGAATCTCTCCTGCTCCAGCTGCCACCTCTCCTGTCGTCTCCTCTCATCCTCAGGGTTCCACACCCAGTGATCTACACGCTTAGCCAGGTTCAACATGGGGCTCTCAATCTAACACACCAGGAGACAGACAGGAGGAGAGGAAAGGACAGGGTGAGCAGGACAGGTAGTTACTACGGTTGGAGGGAGGAAAAGAGACAGGTGCATGAGGACATGAGTGTTATACTGGAGATGAAGGAGAGGTGAGAGGACAGGTGGTTATACTGGAGAGGAAAGGACAGGTGAGAGGACAGGTGTTATACTGGAGAGGAAAGGAGAGGTGAGAGGACAGGTGTTATACTGGAGAGGAAAGGACAGGTGAGAGGACAGGTGTTATACTGGAGAGGAAAGGACAGGTGAGAGGACAAGTGTTATACTGGAGAGGAAAGGTAAAGTTATAGAATGAAGGTTGTTTCTAGAATGAAAGGTCATGTTCTAGAATGAAGATCAGGTTCCAGAATAAAGGTCAGGTTCTATATAAGGTCAAGTTTCTAGAAGAAAGGGCAAGGGAAATATCTAGTTTGGAAATAAAGGATGTGTGCCAGCTTAAGATAAAAACCCCCCCCCAAAAAAAAAAAAAAAATATTTTTCCAGGGTTTGACAAGAAGACAAAAAATGAAAGCTAATTTCAAAAATCTAAGGCTATGGTGAATTAAGCAAGGCACGTAATTAAGTAATGTGTGTTTATTAAGCTAATTGTTTGTCAGGGAATCAAAAGGCTATTGGGGTCACTAATCTAAGCAATGTGGTGGTCGGGGCTTGCTTTTTGTTAATTTTTTTTTTTTTTCAACAAATTGTTTCCCATGCTCTAGTCGCTCCTTCAAACTGTTTCACCAAACTCTTGCTCCCCACAACCACATCCAATTTGGGAAACTGCAACATTTGCAAAACCAACACACAACCAAAACTAATAAACAAACCCACACCAAACCAATCCACACAAGCCCCAAACAAGGGAAACACACCACAAACCCGCACCACACACTTTACCTTTAACTACCTTCACTCAATTAACACACCACAACCACAACAAACACACGGGGACCAAACAACCCCACCCCCAACCCAACCAGGACCCACCAAACACACACCACCCCTACACCCTCTAACTGGCCGTCACGCAACACCACACCACCCATTTTTTCAACCTACAACTAGTGATCAAACATTGGTTTCCTACACCCTAACCATTCCTGCCCATACCTGGCGAATATGTGATCCCTCTCCGCTACGACCCCTGACCACCCTCCTGTCCCATCCCTCGAAACAAATGATCCTCTGCTCGCTAAACTCCCTGACCACCCTCCTGTCCCATACCTGGCTGCCAACTAGTGATCCTCTCCGCTACAAACCCCTGACCACCCTCCTGTCCCATACCTGGCTGCAACAGTGATCCTTGCTCGCTAACACCCCTGACCACCCTCCTTTCCCATACTGGCGCAACTATATCCTCTCCCTCCTAACACCCCTGCCCCCACCCTCCTTCCCCATACCTGGCTGCAACTAGTGATCCTCTGCTCGCTAACACCCCTAACCACCCTCCTGTCCCATACCTGGCCTGAAACTATTTGATCCTGCTCGCTAACACCCCTACCCCCCTCCTGTCCCATACCGGGCCCTGCAACTAGTGATCCTCTGCCGCTAACACCCCTGACCACCCTCCGTCCCATACCTGGCGCAACTAGTGACCTCTGCTCGCTAACACCCTGACCACCCTCCGGGTCCCATACCGCTGCAACTATGATCCTTGCTCGCTAACACCCCTGACCCCCTCCTGTCCCATACCTGGCTGCCAACTAGTGATCCTCTTTTCCGCTAACACCCCTGACCACCCTCCTGTCCCATACCTGGCTGCAACTAGTGTTTCCTTTTCTCGCTAACACCCCTGCCCCACCCTCCGGGTCCCATACCTGGCTGCAACTAGTGATCCTCTGGCTCGCTACACCCTGACCACCCCCCTGTCCCATACCGGGCTGAAAACTAGGATCCTCTGCTCGCTAACACCCCTGACCACCCTCCTGTCCCATCCCTTTGGCTCAACTAGGGGATCCTCTGCTCGCTAACACCCCTGACCACCCTCCTGTCCCATACCTGGCTGCAACTAGTGATCCTCTGCTCCTAACACCCCCTGACCACCCTCCGGGTCCCAACCTGGCTGAAAACTAGTGATCCTCTGCTCCTAACACCCCTGACCACCCTCCTGTCCCATACCTGGCTCAACGTGTTTCCGTCTGCTCGCTAAAACACCCCTGACCACCCTCCTGTCCATACCTGGCTGCAACCCTGTGACCTGCGCTAACACACCACTGACCACCCCCTGTCCAACCTGCTGCAACTGTGATCCTCTGCTCGCTAACACCCCTTTGCCCAACCCTCCTTCAACCTGGTCCAAACCCTTGATCCTTTATCCTCCCCCGAACCTCCTTCCCAATGGGGCTAGTACCTTCCGCTACAACCCCTGACCCCCTCCTTTTATCACCTCTCCTGTTACCTTCCTGTTAATCACCTCCTCCAGTTTTCCCATAGCCTCCTTCCTTTTATCTCCTCCTCCTGATCCCTCTCCTGTTTCCACTCTCCTGTTACAATTTCTGATCCCTCTCTGTTATCCCTTTTCCCCTGTATCCTCTCCTGTTATCCTCTCCTGTTTCTCTCCATTCCCCCTCCTCCTTTTATCACCTCCTTGTTATCCTCTCCCTGTATCACCTCTCCGTAGTACCTCTCCGTTATCCTCCTCCCTGTTATCACCTCCCTGTGAGTCCCTCTCCTGTTATCCCTCTCCTGTTATCTCCTCCCTGTTATCCCTCTCCTGTTATCACCTCTCCTGTTATCTCCTCTCCTGTTATCACCTCTCCTTTATCCCTCTCCTTTTTATCACTCTCCTTTTTCTCCTCTCCTGTTATCTCCTCTCCTGTTATCACTCTCCTTATTCTCTTCTCCTTTATCTCCTCTCCTGTTATCCCTCTCCTGTTATCCCTCTCCTGTTATCCCTCTCCTGTAGTCCTCCTCCCCTTGTTATCTCCTCTCCTGTAGTCTCCCTCCCTGTTTTCCCTCCTTTTATCTCCTCTCCTGTTATCACCTCCCCTGTTATCACCTCGTCCTGTTTCCTCTCCTTATCCCCTCCTGTTACCCTCCTCTCCTGTATCTCCTTCCTGTTTCCCCTCCCCTGTTATCTCCTCTCCTGTTATCACCTCTCCTGTAGTCTCCTCTCCTTATTCTCCCTCTCCTGTTACTCCCTCTCCTGTTAGCCCTCTCCTTATCACCTCTCTTTTATCTCCTCTCCTGGTTATCACCTCTCCTGTGTTCCCCCTCTCCTGTTTCCCTCTCCTTTTACTCCATCTCCTTTATCCCTCTCCTGTTTCACCTCCCCTTTTACTCCTCTCCTGTTATCAACCTCCCCTTTTATCTTCCCCTCCCTGTTATCTCCTCTCCTTTTTATCTCTCTCCGGGTTATCTCCCCCTGTTATCACCTCTCCTTTTTATCTCCTCTCCTGTTCACCTTCCTGTTATCACTCTCCTGTTATCTCCTCTCCTGTTATCTCCTCTCCTGTTATCTCCTCTCCTGTTATCACCTCCCTGTATCTCCTCTCCTGTTATCCCCTCTCCTTTTATCCCTCTCCTGTTATCACCTCTCCTTATCCCTCTCCTGTAGCTCCTTCCTTATCCCTCCCCTTTGTAGGTCTCCTCTCCTGTTATCTCTCTCCTGTTATCACCTCTCCTTTATCCCTCTCCTGTTATCACCTCTCCTTTTAGTCCTCTCCTGTATCACCTCTCCTGTATCCCTCTCCTGTGTCTCTCCTCTCCTGTTTCCTCACCTGTAAGTACCCTCTCCGCTTCCAGTTTCACATCTCCTTCGTTTCCTCTCATCCTCAGGGTCCACACCCAGTGAATCTTACCTTAGCCAGGTTAAACATGGGGCTCTCAATCTAACAACCAGGAGGAGACAGGGTAAGACAGACAGGTGAGAGGACAGGTGTTATACTGGAGGGAAAGGACAGGTGAGAGACAGGTGTTATCGGAAAAAGGGACGGGTAAAGGACATGTTATACTTGGAGAGAAAGAAGGTGAGGGACAGGTGTTATACTATGGAAAGGAAGGTGAGAGACAGTTGTTATACTGGAGAGGAAAGGGAAGGCTGTTTATAACTGGGAGAGAAAGGAAGGGGAGACAGGTGTTAACTGAGAGAAAGGAAGTGAGAGGACAGGTGTTATACTGGAGAGGAAAGACAGGTGGGGACGGGTTTGTTATACTGGAGAGGAAAGGAGAGTGAGAGGACAGGTGCTACTGGAGAGGAAAGGACAGGTGAAGGACGGGTTTGTTATACTGGAAGAAGGCGGTGGGAGGCCCGTGTTAAAACTGGAGAGGAAAGGAAGGTGGGAGGACCGGTTTATACTGGAGAGGAAAGGAAGGTTTGAGAGGCCCGGTGTTAACGGGAAGGAAAGGAAGGTGAGAGGACAGGTGTTATACTGGAGAGGAAAGGACAGGTGGGAGGACAGGTGTTATACTGTAGAGGAAAGGAGAGGTGAGAGGACAGGTGTTATACTGGAGAGGAAAGGAGAGGTGAGAGGACAGGTGTTATACTGGAGAGGAAAGGAGAGGTGAGAGGACAGGTGTTATACTGGAGAGGAAAGGACAGGTGAGAGGACAGGTGTTATACTGGAGAGTGAAAGGACAGGTGAGAGGACAGTGGTTTATACTGGAGAGGAAAGGAGAGTGAGAGACAGGTGTTATACTGGAGAGGAAAGGACAGTGAGAGGACAGGTGTTATACTGGGAGGAAAGGAGAGGTGAGAGGACAGGTGTTATACTGGAGAGGAAAGGACAGGTGAGAGGACAGGTGTTATACTGGAGAGGAAAGGAGAGGTGAGAGGACAGGTGTTATACTGGAGAGGAAAGGACAGGTGAGAGGACAGGTGTTATACTGGAGAGGAAAGGAGAGGTGAGAGGACAGGTGTTATACTGGAGAGGAAAGGACAGGTGAGAGGACAGGTGTTATACTGGAAGAGGAAAGGACAGGTGAGAGACAGGTGTTTATACTGGAGAGGAAAGGAAGTGAGGAGGAACAGTGTGTATACTGGAGGGGAAAAGGAGAGGTGAGAGGGACAGGTTGTTATACTGGAGGGGAAAAGGACAGGTGAGAGGACAGGTGTTATACTGGAGAGGAAGGAAGGGGTGAGAGGACGGTGTTATACTGGAGAGGAAAGGACGGGTTTGGAGGACAGGTGTTATATTTGGAGGGGAAAGGACAGGTGGGGAAACAGGTGTTATACTGGAGAGGAAGACAGGTGGAGGACAGTGTTAACTGGGGAGGAAGGAGAGGTGAGAGGACAGGTTTTACTGGAAAAAGGACGTGAGAGGACAGGGTTTACGGAAGAAAGGATAGGTGAGAGGCAGGTGTTATACGGGAGAGGAAAGGACAGGTGAGAGGACAGGTGTTATACTGGAAGAGAAAGGACAGGTGGGAGGACAGGTTTTTATACTGGAGAGGGGAAGGTTGGAGGACAGGTGTTATATGAGGGGAAAAGGAGAGGTAGAGGACAGGTGTTATACTGGAGAGAAAGGACAGGTGAGAGGACAGTGTTAACTGGAATAAAAAGGGGAAGGACAGGTGTTTATACTGGAGAGAAAAGGACAGGTGAGAGGACAGGTGTTTATACTGGAGAGAAAGGGACAGGTGTGAGGACAGGGTTATACTGGAGAGGAAAGGAAGGTGAGAGGACAGGTGTTTACTGGAGGGGAAAAGGGACAGGGGAGAGGACAGGTGTTATAACGAGAGGAAAGGAAGGTGGAAAAGGACCGTGTTATACTGGAGAGGAAAGGACAGGTGAGAGGACAGGTGTTATCCTGGAGAGGAAAGGGAGAGGTGAGGAGGACAGGTGTTATACTGGAAGGAAGGAGAGGTGATAGGAGGACAGGTGTTTACTGTAGAGGAAAGGAGAGGTTGAAAAGGACAGGTTTATACTGGAGAAGGAAAGGACATGTAGAGGCCCGGTGTTATACTGAAAGAAAGGACAGTGGGAGGACAGGTGTTTATACTGGAGAAGAAAAAGGAGATTGAGAGAGATGACAGGTGTTTATACTGGAGAGGAAAGGAGAGGTGAGAGGACAGGTGTTATACTGGAGAGGAAAGGAGAGGTGAGAGGACAGGTGTATACTGGAGAGGAAAGGTAAAGTTATAGAATTAAGGTTGTTCTAGAATGAAGGTCATGTTCTAGAATGAAGATCAGGTTCCAGAATAAAGGTCAGGTTCTAGAATAAAGGTTAAGTTCTAGAAGGAAGGTCAGGTTCTAGAATAAAAATCAAGTTCTAGAATGAAGGTCACGTTCTAGAATAAAGGTCAAGTTCTAGAAGGAAGGTCAGGTTCTAGAATAAAGATCAAGTTCTAGAATAAAGGTCAAGTTCTAGAATAAAGGTAAAGTTCTAGAATGAGAATGATGAGCTATAATGGTACTCACAGTCACACTGCTCCCCTCCAGTCCTTCTGTGGAGGGAAACACACAGTGTGTTAGCTACAGCAGCAGCATTAGCGCTAAACCTGGTTCACCCAGCAACACGAACTCTGGGTAATGTAATCGTACCTGTCACCGAGGATGAGTAGGTGTGCTGGTTGCTAAGCAATGAAGAGTCAGACCCCGCCTCCTCCCCTGATCTCCTTGACGATGCCAAGGAGCTGTTCACCTAACAGACAATCAGGAAGGGTTAGAGTTAGAGCATCAGAATCATCCAATCAGGAAGGGTTAGGGTTAGAGCATCAGAATCATCCAATCAGGAAGGGTTAGGGTTAGAGCATCAGAATCATCCAATCAGGAAGGGTTAGGGTTAGAGCATCAGAATCATTCAATCAGGAAGGGTTAGGGTTAGAGCATCAGAATCATTCAATCAGGAAGGGTTAGGGTTAGAGCATCAGAATCATCCAATCAGAAAGGGTTAGGGTTAGAGCATCAGAATCATCCAATCAGGAAGGGTTAGAGCATCAGAATCATCCAATAAGGAAGGGTTAGGGTTAGAGCATCAGAATCATCCAATCAGGAAGGGTTAGGGTTAGAGCATCAGAATCATCCAATCAGGAAGGGTTAGTGTTAGAGCATCAGAATCATCCAATAAGGAAAGGTTAGAGTTAGAGCATCAGAATCATCCAATCAGGAAGGGTTAGGGTTAGAGCATCAGAATCATCCAATCAGGAAGGGTTAGGGTTAGAGCATCAGAATCATCCAATCAGGAAGGGTTAGGGTTAGAGCATCAGAATCATCCAATCAGTAAGGGTTAGGGTTAGAGCATCATAATCATCCAATCAGGAAGGGTTAGAGCATCAGAATCATCCAATCAGGAAGGGTTAGGGTTAGAGCATCAGAATCATCCAATCAGGAAGGGTTAGGGTTAGAGCATCAGAATCATCCAATCAGGAAGGGTTAGAGCATCAGAATCATCCAATCAGGAAGGGTTAGGGTTAGAGCATCAGAATCATCCAATCAGGAAGGGTTAGGATTAGAGCATCATAATCATCCAATCAGGAAGGGTTAGGGTTAGAGCATCAGAATCATCCAATCAGGAATGGTTAGGGTTAGAGCATCAGAATCATCCAATCAGGAAGGGTTAGAGCATCAGAATCATCCAATCAGGAAGGGTTAGGGTTTAGAGCATCAGAATCATCCAATCAGGAAGGGTTAGGGTTAGAGCATCAGAATCATCCAATCAGGAAGGGTTAGAGCATCAGAATCATCCAATCAGGAAGGGTTAGGGTTAGAGCATCAGAATCATCCAATCAGGAAGGGTTAGGATTAGAGCATCATATCATCCAATCAGGAAGGGTTAGGGTTAGAGCATCAGAATCATCCAATCAGGAATGGTTAGGGTTAGAGCATCAGAATCATCCAATCAGGAATGGTTAGGGTTAGAGCATCAGAATCATCCAATCAGGAAGGGTTAGGATTAGAGCATCAGAATCATCCAATCAGGAAGGGTTAGAGCATCAGAATCATTCAATCAGGAAGGGTTAGGGTTAGAGCATCAGAATCATCCAATCAGGAAGGGTTAGGGTTAGAGCATCAGAATCATCCAATCAGGAAGGGTTAGGGTTAGAGCATCAGACTCATCCAATCAGGAAGGGTTAGGGTTAGAGCATCAGAATCATCCAATCAGGAAGGGTTAGGGTTAGAGCATCAGAATCATCCAATCAGGAAGGGTTAGGGTTAGAGCATCAGAATCATCCAATCAGGAAGGGTTAGTGTTAGAGCATCAGAATCATCCAATCAGGAAGGGTTAGGGTTAGAGCATCAGAATCATCCAATCAGGAAGGGTTAGGGTTATAGCATCAGAATCATCCAATCAGGAAGGGTTAGGGTTAGAGCATCAGAATCATCCAATCAGGAAGGGTTAGGGTTAGAGCATCAGAATCATCCAATCAGGAAGGGTTAGGGTTAGAGCATCAGAATCATCCAATCAGGAAGGGTTAGGGTTAGAGCATCAGAATCATCCAATCAGGAAGGGTTAGGGTTAGAGCATCAGAATCATCCAATCAGGAAGGGTTAGGGTTAGAGCATCAGAATCATCCAATCAGGAAGGGTTAGGGTTAGAGCATCAGAATCATCCAATCATGAAGTTTTTATGGTTAGAAAGCATCAGAAGCATCCCATCAGGGGTTAGGGTTAGAGCATCAGAATCATCCAATCAGGAAGGGTTAGGGTTAGAGCATCAGAATCATCCAATCAGGAAGGGTTAGGGTTAGAGCATCAGAATCATCCAATCAGGAAGGGTTAGGGTTAGAGCATCAGAATCATCCAATCAGGAAGGGTTAGGGTTAGAGCATCAGAATCATCCAATCAGGAAGGGTTAGGGTTAGAGCATCAGAATCATCCAATCAGGAAGGGTTAGGGTTAGAGCATCAGAATCATCCAATCAGGAAGGGTTAGGGTTAGAGCATCAGAATCATTCAATCAGGAAGGGTTAGGGTTAGAGCATCAGAATCATCCAATCAGGAAGGGTTAGGGTTAGAGCATCAGAATCATCCAATCAGGAAGGGTTAGGGTTAGAGCATCAGAATCATCCAATCAGGAAGGGTTAGTGTTAGAGCATCAGAATCATCCAATCAGGAAGGGTTAGGGTTAGAGCATCAGAATCATCCAATCAGGAAGGGTTAGGGTTAGAGCATCAGAATCATCCAATCAGGAAGGGTTAGGGTTAGAGCATCAGAATCATCCAATCAGGAAGGGTTAGGGTTAGAGCATCAGAATCATCCAATCAGGAAGGGTTAGGGTTAGAGCATCAGAATCATCCAATCAGGAAGGGTTAGGGTTAGAGCATCAGAATCATCCAATCAGGAAGGGTTAGGGTTAGAGCATCAGAATCATCCAATCAGGAAGGGTTAGGGTTAGAGCATCAGAATCATCCAATCGGGAAGGGTTAGGGTTAGAGCATCAGAATCATCCAATCAGGAAGGGTTAGGGTTAGAGCATCAGAATCATCCAATCGGGAAGGGTTAGGGTTAGAGCATCAGAATCATCCAATCAGGAAGGGTTAGGGTTAGAGCATCAGAATCATCCAATCAGGAAGGGTTAGGGTTAGAGCATCAGAATCATCCAATCAGGAAGGGTTAGAGCATCAGAATCATCCAATCAGGAAGGGTTAGGGTTAGAGCATCAGAATCATCCAATCAGTAAGGGTTAGGGTTAGAGCATCAGAATCATCCAATCAGGAAGGGTTAGGGTTAGAGCATCAGAATCATCCAATCAGGAAGGGTTAGAGCATCAGAATCATCCAATCAGGAAGGGTTAGGGTTAGAGCATCAGAATCATTCAATCAATAAGGAACCAAGAGCATCAGAATCATCCAATCAATCAACCAAATGTCAATCAATCAATCAATAAATGAATGAGAGTGGGTGTTGCTCCCCACCTGTGTGCTGCTGGGCATATCTGACGGGCGTGGCTGCAGGTGTGTCTGGGTGAGTTCCGTCACGATGGTCGTTGTAACAACACAGTTCCTCCCTCCAATCAGGGCGCTGATGGCCGACGCATCTGTCTTCTGATTGGCTCCAGGGTGTTCAGTGGGCGGTGGGGAGTGAAGGGGGGAGGAGCCATCTACCTGTCGACAGAGTGATGGGAGAGGTTACCTCACCAAGCCATCTACCTGTATACAGAGTGATGGGAGAGGTTACCTCACCAAGCCATCTACCTGTAGACAGAGTGATGGGAGAGGTTACCTCACCAAGCCATCTACCTGTAGACAGAGTGATGGGAGGTTACCTCACCAAGCCATCTACCTGTAGACAGAGTGATGGGAGGTTACCTCACCAAGCCATCTACCTGTAGACAGAGTGATGGGAGAGGTTACCTCACCAAGCCATCTACCTGTAGACAGAGTGATGGGAGAGGTTACCTCACCAAGCCATCTACCTGTAGACAGAGTGATGGGAGAGGTTACCTCACCAAGCCATCTACCTGTAGACAGAGTGATGGGAGAGGTTACCTCACCAAGCCATCTACCTGTAGACAGAGTGATGGGAGAGGTTACCTCACCAAGCCATCTACCTGTAGACAGAGTGATGGAGAGGTTACCTCACCAAGCCATCTACCTGTAGACAGAGTGATGGGAGAGGTTATCTCACCAAGCCATCTACCTGTAGACAGAGTGATGGGAGAGGTTACCTCACCAAGCCATCTACCTGTAGACAGAGTGATGGGAGGTTACCTCACCAAGCCATCTACCTGTAGACAGAGTGATGGGAGGTTACCTCACCAAGCCATCTACCTGTAGACAGAGTGATGGGAGAGGTTACCTCACCAAGCCATCTACCTGTAGACAGAGTGATGAGAGAGGTTACCTCACCAAGCCATATACCTGTAGACAGAGTGATGAGAGGTTACCTCACCAAGCCATCTACCTGTAGACAGAGTGATGGGAGAGGTTACCTCACCAAGCCATCTACCTGTAGACAGAGTGATGGGAGAGGTTACCTCACCAAGCCATCTACCTGTAGACAGAGTGATGAGAGGTTACCTCACCAAGCCATCTACCTGTAGACAGAGTGATGGGAGAGGTTACCTCACCAAGCCATCTACCTGTAGACAGAGTGATGGGAGAGGTTACCTCACCAAGCCATCTACCTGTAGACAGAGTGATGGGAGAGGTTACCTCACCAAGCCATCTACCTGTAGACAGAGTGATGGGAGAGGTTACCTCACCAAGCCATCTACCTGTAGACAGAGTGATGGGAGAGGTTACCTCACCAAGCCATCTACCTGTAGACAGAGTGATGGGAGAGGTTACCTCACCAAGCCATCTACCTGTAGACAGAGTGATGGGAGGTTACCTCACCAAGCCATCTACCTGTAGACAGAGTGATGGGAGAGGTTACCTCACCAAGCCATCTACCTGTAGACAGAGTGATGGGAGAGGTTACCTCACCAAGCCATCTACCTGTAGACAGAGTGATGGAGAGGTTACCTCACCAAGCCATCTACCTGTAGACAGAGTGATGGGAGAGGTTACCTCACCAAGCCATCTACCTGTAGACAGAGTGATGGGAGGTTACCTCACCAAGCCATCTACCTGTAGACAGAGTGATGAGAGGTTACCTTTTGTTCCCCAATGGTAATCAAAGTTGGGGGAGCGACGGGGGAATTGCAGTGGGGTCACCAAATGTATAAGGAAAATAAATAAATAAACCAAACTTTTTTTGGTGGGGGGGTCAAAATGTAAAAAGTACAATTCTACATTTTTAGTCATTTAGCAGACGCTCTTATCCAGAGCGACTTTACAGTTTTAGTGAGTGCATACATTTTTCATACTTGCCCCCCGTGGGAATCGAACCCACAACCCTGGTGTTGCAAGCACCATGCTCTACCAACTGAGCTACACAGGACATTCTATTGAGTGAATGTATTTATTGGTGGTCTTAGTTTTGATAAGAGAAATTAAAATGTAATGAATTGATGAAATTTGTTGACGTAAAAATCTAAAGACACAGATTTGATTACATTTGTGGTGATTCGGGGTGTCATTAGATTTGGGGTGGTGTGGGGTTGCCAGAAATTCTGTCGAAGAAAATGGGGTCCCGGCTGAAAAAGTTGTAATTCCCTTGCCCCTAAAGCGTCTAGGCTTAAGCAATTTCTCCAAATGTCAACCCATTCAAATGAATAGAGGACGTGCACGTGGAGCCACGTCGGGTGGGACATTTGGGGAGGTGCACGTTTGTGCTGTGCGTCCCCCGCAGACGGTGGTCTCAAGAGCTATGTCACAATGTGTCTCTGTGTCTGTGGACTCTGAATTCCTCTTCACCCCTAACCCCTATCTCTACCTACCCCTACCTGTCCTTACCTTAACAGGCTTGAGTCCAGGCTGATGGTATGAGGGCTGGCAGTAGGGCTCGGCTGTCAGGAGAGGGAGGGGCCGGTGGGGGGGGGAGATGGGAGGGGGGAGTGTGTGTTGACATTGCGTGGAGTGGTTTTGTGTGTGTGTGTGTTGTGGGTTTTGGGTTTGGAGCTGTGTGTGTTTGGTGCGTGTGTGTTTGGTGTGTGTGACAGTGGTTTGGGGTTGTTTGGGGGCTCGGGGCTCTTGCTTTGTGTCAGCCTGCCTGGCCTCTAGTCCGTTTCCAGCTCGTTCTGGGTTCTGGTCGGTCGTAATGGTTCTAGGGTCAGGGTTCTGGGTAGTAATGGTTCTAGGGTCAGGGTTCTGGTCGGTAGTAGTGGTTCTAGACTCAGGGTTCTGGTCAGTAGTAATGGTTCTAGACTCAGGGTTCTGGTTAGTAGTAATGGTTCTAGGTTCAGGGTTCTGGTCAGTAGTAATGGTTCTAGGTTCAGGGTTCTGGTCAGTAGAAATGGTTCTAGGCTCAGGGTTCTGGTCAGTAGTAGTGGTTCTAGACTCAGGGTTCTGGTCGGTAGTAATGGTTCTAGACTCAGGGTTCTGGTCAATAGTAGTGGTTCTAGACTCAGGGTTCTGGTCGGTAGTAATGGTTCTAGACTCAGGGTTCTGGTTGTTAGTAGTGGTTCTAGACTCAGGGTTCTGGTCAATAGTAGTGGTTCTAGACTCAGGGTTCTGGTCAATAGTAGTGGTTCTAGACTCAGGGTTCTGGTCGGTAGTAATGGTTCTAGACTCAGGGTTCTGGTTGTTAGTAGTGGTTCTAGACTCAGGGTTCTGGTCAATAGTAGTGGTTCTAGACTCAGGGTTCTGGTCAATAGTAGTGGTTCTAGACTCAGGGTTCTGGTCGGTAGTAATGGTTCTAGACTCAGGGTTCTGGTTGGTAGTAGTGGTTCTAGACTCAGGGTTCTGGTCAATAGTAGTGGTTCTAGACTCAGGGTTCTGGTCAATAGTAGTGGTTCTAGACTCAGGGTTCTGGTCGGTAGTAATGGTTCTAGACTCAGGGTTCTGGTTGTTAGTAGTGGTTCTAGACTCAGGGTTATGGTCGGTAGTAATGGTTCTAGACTCAGGGTTCTGGTTGTTAGTAGTGGTTCTAGACTCAGGGTTCTGGTCAGTAGTAGTGGTTCTAGACTCAGGGTTCTGGTCAGTAGTAATGATTCTAGACTCAGGGTTCTGGTCAGTAGTAGTGGTTCTAGACTCAGGGTTCTGGTTGGTAGTATTGGTTCTAGACTCAGGGTTCTGGTCAATAGTAGTGGTTCTAGGTAGCTGCAGACTGTCCAGCGTAGCGTCACTGATGGTGAAGCGGAGAGCGTAACGCTGGAGAACCATGGCCGCTTCCTCTTTAGAGCCCGCCCTCCTGTACGCATCACACAGCTCCGCCTCCCTACGCTCTCTGTGGTGAAAGAGGAGGAAGGGGGGGAGTAGAGTTTATTACATTTTGTATGAACCTTTATTTAAACAGGGAGTCACATTGAGATAAAACTATTTTACAAGAGAGACCTGTATTAGAAGCTGGTGAGACAAGTAGAGAGAAAGATTTAGTTTCCCCCTC